TATCTATAGTTTAGGGGTTATCTTAAAAATGGACAAACATAATTGAGGGAATTTACCGCTTTACGAAATTACCCAGATGAACACTTTCACGCTCAATCAATGTGGATCAACTTTTTTACACTGGAAGAACTTCACAACAGGCTTTTGATTTAGTGCAATAAAATCGATCAACAATGTGATCCAGCAATGTGCAAGAACAAAGAAGGTATCAAGTTATAAAGTTATGCATTACTGGCCACAGGAGGCTTATTGAACTGTTCACATCCGCTCTGTTTATGTACTGCCACAACTCATGATCATGGTACTTCCCCTTCACATCATCGTTCTTTACTGACCAAAATCACAGCATGAATACTCCATAAGTATGCTTTTTCCGAGTATGGTTAAGCTATTGTTATAACAATAGCGGTTTAACAGACTAAACAATCTGGATAAAGGTTTTTGTTATTATTAGGAAGCACTAGATGAAAATTCACATTATTCTTGATTTCTAATGTTACCTTTTGTCTTTGTACTTTCATAGGGGTTCATGTTCATCTGCTCAGGAACTAACAGATATACTTCCTAGTAATGCCGGTATGAGAACATCTTGCTGTAATTTCCTCCACTGTTTCTTATGTTAGTCAGTTCTTAATCATATTTATTGACTCTTTAATTAAAGCGTGTTAATTTGTTCGCCTGTTCAACGTGCAAGTTGGAGCAGGATGCTGGAACCTGCATACAAATAAACCAACAAGCAGAGTTGCATTATATGTTTGGATAACTAGTCTGAATGTGCTTCTTAAAATGTTTTGGATAGGTTCGAGGAGATCAAAGGTAAAAGACATTGAAAACAATGATAACTTTGAAGTATCAGATGGGCTTGACACGCTTGCCAACCTTGCAATACTCAGGGAGGGAGAATCTCTCCCTCCATCTTCTCAACCTACTACAAAGCATCCTCGGCATCGTCCAGACTGCTCATGTATCGTCTGCATCCAGCCTCCTAGTGGCAAAGGTCCCAAGCACAAGCAGACATGCACTTGCAACATATGTCTCTGTAAAGCGTCGCTTCTGTACCCTCATGCTGCGGCGAGAGAAACGACAGTCAGAGAGAATCTGAGACTGTTCCTCCACACCAGAAGCAGCCTCTTTCTCAGTCGCCGGAGATGCCTTCAAGTAGTGACCCTCATCTGCCAGCAGGGATTTGCATCACTAGTGGCTCTTCTCCTCAAAAGTCCAGCGAGGGTGAGACTGATGATGACCCCGACAAGAAGATAATGTTACCATCTCCTCTCAAGGCTCAGATTGAATTGAACATCCAGCCAGAGCGGGAGGAGGAGCCATTGCCAATGGCTGATGCTGGCAGCGTGATGAGCACTTTTGTTAAGACTACAAACTAGGAATTATTTATGTCTAGATGTGGAAGCACATCTATGGTGTGGTAGGAAGAAAAAGGCCAGTTGTGCCTGTCGGTGTGGTCAGAGCCTGAAATCTATCGAAACCATTGAGTGATATAAGTCACTCAACCTTTGGAGAAATAGCGGACAAGCTCCAGGGATATATTAAAGGTTACTCATCAAATGTAAAAGAGGCCGGAGGAAACAAAAGCTGTGATTTATTTTTTTTAAATTTTTTTATTTGGTTATCCTCCACCTGGAAGGAATAGGTATAACTGCGGCTAGTATAAATGCACAAGGTATTCTTTCTTTTCCCTGTGAGGTTTCAAAATTTGATGGGAAAACTGAAGCTTGTTATGAGGAGATATACACTAGCTTTTCTGATGCGTAAAAGGAATTGTGTAACTAACTTGTGGAGGACTACAGGTTATTACTTGATAGTTTCATGCCAAGTGCGTATTCATGCTGTATCTTGCCGTTGCACATAGCACCGTGATATATGTATATTTTATTAGTTATGCTAACATAATCAGGAAGTTTTTACTTGACGAAAGGTGAACCAACTTAGGTGCTGTTCAAATTCAGTGCTCCAGGATTTGGATGATATTGACAAGCATGTGAGAATTAAAAAAAAGAAGAAAAGAAGAAAAGAAGAAAAGTTCTGCTTAATTTGAGGCATCAATATATTCTTCCGAGCGCTAATAAATTACTTTTGTTCAACAGAAAATTGTTGTCATACAACTTCTCAGTGTGATCTCTGACATTGTAAAGATATTACAGGTACGTAAATTTCCTGAATCTTTGGCATTGTCAAGATAATACTTGTTCGTATGATCTGAATGTTTTCTCCTAATATTTTTTTTTTCTTGTTGAAGAATTAGAGAATAAACAGATGCCAGTTGGCGTTCGAGCCTTCCTTCACCCAGCGGAAAGGAAAAAGAAGTTTATGTTCTTTCTTTTGGGAAGGGAGGATTAGGGAAATGGAACCAATAACAAGCCGAATCAAATCCAGATGCCAATCCAAGGCGTTCGATTTCCCGCAGCAGAAATCAAGAAATCAAGCTTTAATGTGAGAAAAGGAAGATCCTAAGTACTTTACTTTTATAAGTTCTTTATTATACCACATTTTGATTCCCTTGAAGCATATATGCGATAGATAGATTTCTGTTCGAAATCATTCACTAGGCCCAAAAAAGATGATGGAACCTCTCCCACTTCGTGGCTAGGTTTTGATGCTCAGCTCCAGGCGGCTTGTCCTCTGTCAATTGTGCCCCATAACGCAGTAAGATTTTTTGACTTGTGCTAGACTTACATGTTTATACGATAGAAGATGCCGACATATTTGTCAACCTCACAACACCCATCTGGGAAACTACGTTGGTAGTCTGACTAATGCATCGAGGAATAGAAAATGCACGAAGTAAATACATATACGTGTAACTCGTCAGTGCTGGTGATCGTTCGTGGATTTTATGGGTGTCACACTTCGATTGCGTGCGGACTTTTGTCCAAAACCAAAAAACTAATGCTGGAAGTCAGAATTATAGCAATGTTAGATACTGACAGCCGGCAGTTTATTAACTAATGTCAGGTGGTAGGAAAATATGTATGGAACTGTGCTAAATATTTTGTTGCCGGCTAACAGAAAACACAAATGTTTGGCTTCTCTTTGTCTTGCTTGATTTCCTCCTCTCTGGTGTCTCATTTCTTGACTCAGTTAACCATTCTCTCAAATCATTTTTGAATTCAAGGATTAGTTAAAAGTTTACCATATTATATTTGATTATTTTGTTACTCATCTTTCTTTGGCCGTCAATACTGTACGGTTATTAAACCTTGTAATATCCGTCCTCAGTCAACTAAACAATGACACTGATTTGCCGGCTAGTTACCTTGCTCTCTTTCTCTCCCTTAATTACTATCTGTACACCAACAACTACAACGACAACAACAAAGCCTTCATCTCAAATGGTTGGGGTCGGCTACATGAATCCTATTCTCCCATTCCGTTCTACTCTGGACCATCTCCTTCATTAAATTAACCATTATCGTATCCTTCTTAATTGCTCACAACCAAGTTTTTTTTTCAGATCTACTCCTATATCTCTGTCCCCTTAATGGCTATCTCTACTTGGCAATATTCTTTCCTATTTATATATATTGAAACTTGCTTGCTCCTCCAACTTCTTCTCTGACCCTCATTGTCTATCTATGCCAAATGGAGAACAAACACTTGCGGAACAATCTGCCGTTGCTGCGTGATTCTTCCACAGCTTCTGGCTCCCAACCTTGCTCTCCCCTCATTGACCCCACAACTCGCCATGGTTTCTGTCCACTCCGCGGCCGCAAATCCTGTGCTACCGAATCCTCCGGTAAATCACTCTATTCCAATGATGGCGCTCTCCTTCGTGCCCGATGGCCTTCTTCCTCTTCCTATTCGTCTTCAAAGCAATCCAACAATTCGCTAGCGGATTATCTGAGCAACGACGGCCTTCCTGGACTTGTAGATCGAAAGAGCAGCACCAACTCCTATGCAGCCGGTCCCCAATCCCTCTCCCGCATGCGCAGCTGCTCAGAGTTCAGCCGCTTTGAAGAGAAGAAGGAAGAAGATGAACAGAAGAGCAGCAGCAGCAGGAACGTATCCAAAGAAAACCGCCCTTTTGGGAGTTCCATGCGCTACATAGGAAAACTTAGATTCCCCAAATCATCCTCAAAGACCGAAATCAACTCACGCATACTGCCTGGTAGAATGTCCGTGGATGAGAGCATACTCTCGAACTACAGGAGAACCACTGATTTTGCTGTGGACTCGCTGAGCTCAGAGTCTGATAGGAGTGATAGTACCAAGGGGATGAGTCCTAATATTCCTCGGTCTAGAAATAAAGATTCAGGCCCAAAGTCTGCGGATAGGACTCCTGCAAGCAAGCTGGCAGCTGCTGCAGGTATTCGAAGGAGTAGCTCCTTAACAGGAAAAGGACCAGGTTTGAATCTAAGCCCGTGGGCACTTTCTCCCGGGCACCGCTCCAATTCTCCACCAGTACGGCCACCACTGGCAGCGACAATGGAGGGGGGAGGGACTCCGACTAGGTCATTCTCGAGTCTCCGACCAGAAAACCCCGATAAGAGTAAGAAAGTTGGGAATATTATTAGCATGGGGATGGATCTGTTTAGAAGGAAACAGGGTTTTACATCCAGTAATATTAAGTTGAGACCTTCATCTCCTGTGATGGTGGTAGGAGATGTAGGACACCAGTTCAGGATGTTGCGTAATTGTTTGATTCAATGGAGGTATGTGAATGCTAGATTGAACTTCACTAATCAGACAAGAACAAGCACTGCTGAGGTATTTTCAGTAGTACTCTTTACTTGACTGTTTGTAGTTCACTTGTCGTGGTCGGTTGTAGTCTAAAACTTTCCCCCCTTTACGGTTTGTTTTGCAGGGTATGTTGATGCGTGCATGGACTGAGATAGGGAAGCTGCAAAGTTCAGCGATGAAGAAGACGTTGCAGCTTGAGAGGGAGAAGTTGCACCTAAAGCTCGACCTTCATCTATCTTGGCAGGTTAGTACAAGTTTGAACCAATGCTGATTTCTCCTCCACCTCCCGAGAAGATCTTCCTCTAGAACTTCGTAATAGATATTGTTGTCTCTCTGTTGTGGAACCAATGCTGATTTCTCCTCCACCTCCTAAGAAGATTTAGAGAGAATATTACGTTGAAAATGATAACTCTCAGAAAGTGAACCTGTACCTACAGGAGCAATCGCCTGTGGTCATGCCATCTCATAATCCTTCGGTGACCCTCCGAGAAATGTTAAAATCTCCAGCTGCTCCTGTTCTCTCTTCATATTCTGTAAATCAGATGTAATTGGAAAGATCTCTTGAAGCTCGCCCTTGTAGTTTGTTGAACTCTGCATATTATTCTTCCAAATACTTGCTTCCTAACTAAAATCTTGAAAACTTCTGTGAAACAGAGTAGGCTCTGTGTCAAACTACACTTTTCGGAGCAAATTAACTCCAAGAAATACCATAATTCCTGCACGGTCATACAAGGGCAACATCCTGTACTTCTATCTCTGTTGCATTCAATAGATGATTAAGAGTTGTTTATCATCTTCATTCCACTCTATTTCCTTTCTAGAAGGAGACTCCCATCAAGTGATCTTCTTTTTCTCACCCTTCCAAATTAATCAGAACAAGTCTCTTCATTGTAGATAATTACCAGAGGACAATTTTCTATCACAAAATTTTCTGGAAGCAAGCATTTCGGGATAAAGATAGGGGCAACTTCCTTACTGGCGGTCATAGCAATTGACCTATCACCACCCTATCAATTGAAAAACAAATGCCAAGCACCTCCCTACCTCCCCTACAAACCAAACCAAACTCCTAGCACATCTCTTACCATCCTCAAACAACTTCAAACTACGAGAAAACTATTCCAAAGTCCAACGCCATCACCAAACAGCAATAACAACCAAAAACAACTTACTACAAAAATAACTCATCAAAAGAGAAGACAACCAAATAAACCTTACCAAATCCATCTCTATAGCAAGAGAGACTAGATGACTGACTGTAGGTTGTCTAAAAATTACTGCAGATAGCTGGTCCCCATTAAACACCGATGATGGAAGTCACAATATGATGGCTTTCAGAAGACTATAATTTGAAAACTTTCACGTAGATCGATGAAAGCTCTAATTCAACAGCCTTCACAATCAACATCGAGAGATATAATCTGATTGACGCTAATATTTTCAAGGAGCCAAGACGAAGGTTACAAGATGACGATCTTTGCAACGCTCTAGCAAAATAGGCTACAAATTGACGGTCTCTTCGAATCAAAACACAGATATCTCTCAAACTGTAAGGAATTTGATAAAACGGATGGGAGCAAACCAAACCCTTCAGATTGGTTTGGTCGGCTCCGTCTCGTCGAGATAGTCGATTTTCATATATAATTCGTCTAATTCTGACTTACGGTTTAAAAGTTATGACCTGTTCTTCGCAACAAGTTATGTTCTGAAGTCCATCTGCAAGACTGGACTTCGCCTAAACATTGGACTTCGCCTGAAGCTCGCCTAAGGCTCGCCTCTGCGTTCCAGAGTCAAAACATAGTGTTCCAAATCCAAACGCAGAGTTCATTACTACGTTTTCAGCCCAAAACGCATGGTTCATCGCTGCGTTCCAGATCCAAACGTAGCTTTCATTGCTGCGTTTTCAGCCTAAAACGCAGAACCTAACTTTACATTCCAGTTCCAAACACAGAGTTCATTCCAAAACGCAAATTGCGCGTTTGGCTGGTTCAAAACAAAACCCGAATGATATCAAAACCATTTTTTCACTTAATAGGGGCGGTTACACCCCATAAACCCACATTAAGGAGAGATTTAAGGGGGACGGTTTTACCCCATTCAGCCCTATTAAGGAGAAAATCAAGAGACAGTTACACCCCTTAATCTCCTATAAATAGCTAGAATTTCAGTTTAATAAAGGGCTGCTTGGAAGAGATCTTTTAGAGAAGATCAAATCTTTGGATTTTCAGATCGATCTCTTGGAGCTTTTCCTTGGCTTATAAACCGATTTCGGTTAGATCAACTCTTCCACAGAGTTATAACTCGCTCAGAGTTCCCTAACTCATTAAGAGTTTCAAACTTGCTCCACAAGTTTGTTCGAGACTTCGAGTCAAAAGGCGAAGACAACGTTCCACGAGGTAAAGTGTTCGGATCGTCAACGAGAAGAAAACTCGACACTAACATCGAGGGAGGCATCTCATTGCTACCGTGAAGAACCCAGATTTAAACAAAGGAAGGATCTCCGTCGATTTCTTCTCTCTTTTGTAAATCGGGATTTTAATAGAGAAGATTGTAATTTTCTTTTTTCTAAGTTGTTAGAGAGAGATTACAGTGAGAAATTGTAATTCATTCTTTTTCTGAGTCTGTCAGAGAGAATAATACAAATTTAATACTCAATTGTCTTTTTGAATGTTCCCACTAAACAAAAAATGACGACTCTGCTGGGGACTAGCTTTTTCACCGAAGAAGAAGTGGTGGCGCAATCTGACACCAAGCTCGCTAGAACGACCGTTAAAACTTTGATCATTGAGTTCGATCAATCCAAGTATGAGGAGTTACTCTCTTCCGGATCACTTAGCCCCAAGGCTATGCGCAAGATCCACAAAGTCTCTAAGGAGACTAAAGCTCTAGTTGTGACCGACTCGTCAAAGGACTATCTCCTCTGGGTGTTGCACTATTCATATAGTCCCCTCTTTGAATGAGAAGACTTAGCTTTGGCTAAACTCGTCAATCGAGTTGAAGGTTCCACGCCCGCGCCTAAACAACGGGTATCGGGTCACAAGAGGCTTATCATCATGACTAACCTGATCAGTACAGATGGTGATGATACTGCAAAAGCCTTAAAACAGGCTACGAAGAACGCCGCTCGACGAAGGAGAAGATCTCGACGGTGAGCACAACTCCAAGAAAGCCGATCTCTCAACAAACACGAGCCGTGCATTTATGAGCCGAAATGCGATCCTGAGCTCTGCGTTTCTGTTTCAAAACAAGAGCCTCGTGTTCATGAGCCTAAACGAGAATCTCGTGTGAACCATGTTGAACGCAGCCCTCAGTGGCGCGTTATGCAACCAAAACATAACCCTGAGAGGCATGTTTTACAATCAAAATGTAGCCCTCAGGTGCGCGTTATTCAAGCAGAATATAGTTCTCAAGATTGCGTCTCACCTTCAGAACGCAGCCATCAGGCCTGCGTTTTACCATCAGAACACAACCCTCAAGGAAGCTTTGCCAAAACCGAACGCAACTCTCAGGAGTGCATTCTAGAACTAAAATGCAGATCTCAGGACTGCATTTCACCAACAAAATACAGATTTTAGGACTGCATTTCATTAGCAAAATGTAGATCTCAGGATTGTGTTTCACCAGCAAAATACAGACTTCGGTCTTGCATTAATCAAGCTAAACACGACCCTCGTGGTCCTTCTTCGGAACACGATGTGATTCGTCGTGTTCAAAAAGATCAACATGGATTTAAAATTCATATTTGCTAAGAACCAGTCCCATCCATTGACGAACATGGGGTTTCATCTCCACCCCCACGCTCTGTGAGAGATTCACTCCAAGTCTCTGACTTGTAGGAATTGTTGTCGAGAGAAAGACTGGCGCAACAAGCAGCCCACTTATGTCAATGTGAGCGGCTTATTTCTACGGTCCTCTCAGAATGCTAATGTTGTGTATCCACACCCAGGCGATCAATATTCGACCGATTGACGAATGTCGTCAGGCCTGCCAAGCGACGACGTCATCACAAGAAGAAGGTTTCAGAAGCTGAATATTCCGAGGTCACTATCAATGTGATTGGCAGAGGTAAGACCATGACTCCTAGTTCTGACGATTCTGAGACAAGTCGGTCACCGACTGTTAGAAAAATCTGTGACGAGTTTGAAGGAATATACTGGCGCACTCGGACTCGGACAGGAGCCATTCCTCTGATTAATTATCAAAGACTAGCTAGGGGAACTACATCCGATGGTGAGCATTCAGCTATGGCAGAATCTCAATCCTCTATCTCTTTCATATAACATGAGAGCTCCTCCTATATGATGGGAAATCATGAAGATCTCGTGAAGAGACTTGATGAGGAGCAAGCCATGGTCAAAGCAAAACAGGAGGTCATCAATGAACTTCAGATCCAGATAACTCAATTCATCGCAGACAAGACCAAATCTCAGAAGACAAATTTTCCGCTAAGGTAAGAATCTTCCCAAAGAGGAAGAACGTCTTCATCCCTACCTCACACAAGCAAGGGGAAGGAAAAAATTGTTGATGATGGTGCTTCTGACCAAGAAGCCCACAACTTAGAATCTTCCTCTGATGAAGGAAGAGAGACTGAGAACGAGCATAATCTCTAGTCTGCGAAAATGAAAGAATTGTAAGTCCGCCTCAATGCTATTGCTAACATAAGCGAACTTCAAGACGAGGGAGTTGCTAGGTCCTATCATGCCGGATGGAATACAACCCCTTATCCTCTAAAGTTCGAGGTCCCGACGCTATAAACTTTTGACGGCATGAGATCATCGAATCAACATATCTATCATTTTAAGTCACAGACTGGGAATATGATATCAAACGATGCCATACTGACGCGATTGTTCGTTGGCACCCTCAAGGGAGTTGCCTTTAAATGGTTCAGAAAACTGCATGCCGGATGTATCCAAAAGTGGGCGGCTAGAGACACTCTTCCTGTCAAGATTCTTTGAAGATGATACATAAGCATCCATCCATATCCATATAAGCCTCCATCCATATCCATACCCTTCGCGCCACTAAGCAGAAGAAGAGAGAGTCCGTCAAAGCATTCGTCAAGAGGTTCTGAAGCATGACTCTTCAATGTTCGTCGGGTATGACACAGTCTACCTTAATAGAGACCTATCAACATAACTTACAGACCAACCTTCTAGCACAAATTAGGGTTGCAGAATGCCGTTCCTGGAGACAACTAATCTCTCAAGGCAAACAAGCTTAAAAAATTATTATCAGGATCAA